AAAGAAAGAAAGAAAGAAAGAAAGAAAGAAAGAAAGAAAGAACTTGGCTTGAGGTGGTCATGGGAACCAATCTCTTTCTGGCTACTTTTTCCTTTGCATTTAATTCTCTATGACAGACTTTAAAAAGCTGGCCCTTTTTAAAACCCACATGCATAAAATGGGTTCTTGTGTGAGTATATAACTTGTCCTCTTTTAGTTCAGGCCTGGAACAAAGTCTTTCTGGAAGGATTACCCCATTCTCACAGCAATGTACCATCTGCCAACTGTGGTTTCCAGAGTCAGCATGAAGCATCACAGTGTCTTTATTGAGTTTAAGTCTGTTCTGCCTTCACTCAGGCCGACTTTTGCCATCTCGGGACATATCTAACATTCACTTTTACATTGTTTCTGCTTTTAAAAATCAAACATATCAAATCCTTGCAATTTTAAAACATGCACTTTACATTTCTAGGCATGGCATTTTCCTAACCCCATCTCCTACCCCCCAAAATAAAATTGTCAATTGGACGTCGGTAGCAATTTTAATCTAAAGCCTAATGGCATTCAGTTTGTTGGAAGTTTCCTTAGATGGATGGCCATTGTTGACTTCCTGCTTCCCTAAGACTTTTGTTTTTCCACATACGCTGCACTGAATAATTCTCTCCTAAATACAAATGAAACTGCAGCATCCGAAAGTTTTGTTTTGTTTTTTCTTTAAAAGAAAACCACCTTGTGGCATTTGTCACCGAGATTAACAGGTGACCTTTCTCCGAGGCATAGGGTCCGTTTACACTAAACTCCCCCCACTGAGCTGCTAACCAAATGCACCAAATTGCAGCACCGTAGTGTAAGAGCCTGGTGCTGGCATCTCAACGCATTTGTGCAGCAGCCCTTAGCGAGTAGCAGAGGAGCAGCAAATAACACACCCATCTTCTTTCTTAAAAGCCCAGATACACTTGAAGACGTTTTAAAACTGTCTTCCAAACTCCCAGCTATCTGACCAGATATGATCTTAAAGACCCCTTGTATTTCTTTTTTTGCTATCCAAACCGTTTCTTGGATAAGCTTTAGAGACTTTGCAAAATCTCACCATCATCTCTGTAGCCACTCCACCCTGCTGCCTCAGCAAAAAAATTTTCCAGTCCCTGCCACCCCGATGCGCTCCTGCCTCATGCAGAAAGAGAGAGAGAGAGAATACAGCTCACAAAAGAAGAAATATTTCTCACCCAAAGTAAGCAAATGTTTCCTGCCCAACAGCCAACACGTCCGCTTATTTGTTCCTCGGTTGTTTCTCCTTCTGTTTTTTTCAGCCGTCGGCTGTTCAGATGGAGCAGCCGGGGGCGGGGCGGGGGGGGGGGAGAGAATAGGAGGAGTAAATCTCTCGGAGAGCATCAACCCACTGAGGATGCGCGACCAGGTAAGGCGAGATGGAAGAGTGAGGAAGAAGTCCAAGCCACTCGCTTGGAGAGCAAAAGGGAGATTCCCCTCTTGTCGGATCCACTCCCACGCCACCCACTCGGCTGATTGTGGGCGAGTGGGTGAGGGAGTGACAAAGAGGCTGCTGGCGGATCGGATGAGAGGGAACGGGTTAGGGAATTAGAGCAGATGCGCAGCCTTGAACTTCCTTCGTCAGGAAATTGATGGTGCTCAGCGTGGGAGGATGGTGGGGAGAGACAATAGACTGTGTTAGAAAAGGAAGGTGCTTTTAAGGCATCGGCCATTCTGGGACTCTCTTTAGCCTTTGGTAATCTTCAGAGGGGGAGGAACTAGTGCCAAGCAGGGAAATACTCCTGCTGAATATTCTATCTATCTATCTATCTATCTATCTATCTATCTATCTATCTATCT